AATGACTCAGTATATTCCTTCCATCTTCTTTTAATACTTCCTGGATCATTAAATATTCTGCCCAAAGCATCCTTGATTATAGCAACTCTAGGTTTGTATTTGTTCTTCAGTTCCTTGAGCTTAAGAAATGCTGAGCGAGTTCGGCCCTTTTGATTTTCTGACTCTAGCTCCTCGCACATTTCATTGTAGCAGGTTAAAGGCCCTCAAAACAGTTGTTTAATCCTTAAAACATGATGTGAGCAGATGTTCTTGATGTTAAGTGCCATCATATCAATTCCAACTCACAGCGACCCATGTACAACAGCAGTGACAAAGCCACTCCCCAACTCTGTGCTAGTCTCATAATTGTTATCTGCTTGAGCCATGATTGTAACCACTAAGTCAATTTATCTTGTTGAGATTTTCATTTTTCTGCCCATCTACTGCAGTTAGACGCTTTGAGTAAGACGATGATCTATCTTCTAATTAATTCATTCTCTAAGGAACATTCTAGCTGCACATCTTGCAAGGCAGATTTGTTTGTTCTTCTTCTGGTAATCCATGGCTCAGTTAATATTTTCCCCCAACACTAATTCAGAGGCATCAGTTCTTCTTCAGTCTTCCTTATTTTATTGCATAGCTTAAGAAGCAATTGAAAATATCATGACTTGGATTGTTGTTGTTGTTGTTGATAAGTGCCGTTGAGTCATAGATGACTCATAGCGACCCTATGAATGAAAGACATGAACACTTGTATAACTTTCGTCGTTTCTCCAAATGTACAGTGTTTCTGGAGGTAAGCTTTTTCAGAAGTGGATGCCACTCCTACTTCCAGGCTTCTTTTAATCGGGAAGCTCCACCAAACACTGTCCACCATGGGTAACCATTATCGCATTTGACACATCAGTGTCACAGTGTTTAGCACCACAGCAACCACGAGTTACCTCTGTACAGCAAATGGACAGACCATTGCTATACCACTTAGAAAAACATTTCACCAAAAACAATTAAAACCAGCCTGAGGGCCTCAGAATAAAATCTCCCACCTTTGGCTTGATAGCATCACTTTCTGTCCACTACGCCAACTGAGCTTTCTAATTGGTTTTTATGTTGTTGTTATTTTTGTTGTTAAGTGCTGTCGAGTCGTAGATGACTCGTAGCGACCCTATGAACAAAAGACCTGAACACTTATATAACTTTCATCATTTCTCCAGAGTGATAATTTCCGGAGGCAAGCTATTTCGAAAACAGTTGCCACTCGTGCTTCCCTCACTTGAGTTAGGCACACATTAGTCCTCAAAATGCCATCTTTGTTATTTAACACTTTCACTTCAGGTTTTCCCAGTGTAATGCAGTGTTTTTTTGTTTTTTTTAAATAAAAATTTTATTTTAAAAAAGTCATTGCTGTCAAGCGAAGTGTTTGATTTTTTTTGATGGACCCAGGTAAAATGAAATCCTCAAGATTTTTAATATTTCTCAGTTGATAATGTTGTTACTTATGGGTTCAGTTGTGAGGATTTTTGCTTTATTTCTGTTCAGATGCAATCAATACTGAAGAGTATAGTTTTGTTCTTCATCAATCGGTACTTCTCTTTTAGCCAGCAGGTTGTATTGTCTGCTCACCACCGATTGTTAATAAGTATATGACTTGTCAATGGGGTTATTACTGTATTATTTCAAGGCCAAATTAAATTCAGAAGAAGTAATTCAC